ACCCTAACATGGGTGGCGTTGGCCTCGTCGCCGCCGGAGCTCCTCCGACGAGCGGCCTCGCGCGCGGCCTCTTCATGCCGCCACGGATGACCTCGGCGGCGGGTGGCGTCGCGCCGGCGCCGGCCTGAGCCGCTGCCCCCTCCTCCTCAAAGCTCCCCAATGCGGCGCGGCCAAAGAAGGGCAAGACATCGGCGAAGAAAAACAAGACGGCGGACGGCTCCGGCACCTCCAAGGCGAAGAGGAAGAAGCTTGCGGGGCATGCAACGGGCGCGGCCGCTGCCGAAGCGCCGGCAAGCTCACTCGTTGAGCCGGCGGCCGGCGCGCACAACATGTTCGACGAAATTCCTCCAAGGTAAAAAAATTCTAACTTTTCATTTTTTTTTGTTATTTTTTGAATGCATTCGTCACATATAGATAGCTTATTTGCATTGTGCAAAAAAATTTGTAGTCTCAATGATGATGCATACATGTCAATGATGGGTGTTGGCTCCAACATTTCGCATTGGTCTCAAACCAATGACATGCATTTTGAAGACCATGAGTTCGAGGTGGACGAGGAAGGTGAGGGCATTGTCGACGCACCGAAAGGAAGAGCGGGCAATTACACCAACACCGATGACATCTTACTATGCAATACTTGGTTGCAAGTGTCGAGGGATCCATCCGTTGGAGGCGATCAAAGTAGAGATGCTTATTGGAACCGGATGAAGGAACACTTTGATGCTCGCAACGTGAGTGGAATTGACCGCTCCAACCGATCACTTAGGTCCCGGTGGTCGACAATCAACTCGGATTGTCAAAGGTGGGCGGCTTATCAAAAGGCGGTTGACAAGTTGAACCCAAGTGGCACAAATGAGGACGATAGAGTAAGTGTCATTTCATCTTACATGTTGGTGCTAAACTTGCTTTGTTTTGCTTGTTGTTGGTGCTAACTTGCTTTATTTTCATGTAGTTCAACATTGCGCAAAACTTGTTCAAAGAAGAGGAGAGGAAAACCAAGAAGGGGAAGATCAAGAAAGGAAGGGTCTTTACTTTGCCTCATTGCTATGATGTGTTGAAGGATGATGAGAAATGGAAGAAGCGTGAAGATTTGGGTGATTTGCATTTGAGCGACAAACGGAAGCAAACAATTAAGTTGGATGATGATGATGATGAGAATGATGCATCAAGCGATGACGGCAAGAGAAGCCCTACGCCCAACTCGGTTTCATACTCGAAGCCAAAGCGACTGGATGGGTGCAAGAAAGACCAAACCCAAAAGAAGAAGAGGAAAGGAGATGATGAGCTCAAAAATGCTATGAAAGCTATTGTGAAGGCAAGAAAAGAAGCCAACAGGGTGAGGAAAATGGCAAGGACCCAAAATGCCGCGGCCGAGGAGAGGAGGTTGGCGGCCGAGGAGAGGAGGGTGGCGGCCGAGGAGAGGAAGGTGGCTTTGGAGGAGAGGAAGGTGAGCAATAAGGAGCGAACTAGATTGTTGGAATGGGAGAAGCACTTGTTCTTCTTGGATACAACTAACCTCAATGCGGCGCAAAAGGAGTATGTCAATCTTGCCCAACAAAAAGTCTTGATCCAAAAAAGAGCCATGGTTCGTGCAATGGGTGGCAGTGGCATCGGCGCCATGGGTGGCGGTGGCATCGGCGCCATGGGTGGCGGTGGCCTCGGCGCCGTGGGTGACATGGGTGGCTTCGGAGGTACCGTGGGCGGTTTAGGTGCAATGGGAGGCATGGCTGGCTTTGGAGCACCCCCCGACGCTATGGCCACGATGGGAGGCATGAGTTTTGCTTCTCTCATGGGAGGCATGGGTGCACCTCCGGCTGCCATGGGTGGAATGTCTTTCGATGAGCCTCCTCGCACACATTCCCATGAAGATGCCGTTGAAGATCTTGCCAACACCGTCAGAGCTTCACGTGATGCGGTGCGCGATGAGGAGAGGGAGGAAGATTCATCTTCGGAGGCGGAAGAATCGTCTTCCGAAGATGAGGACGAGGACGAGGAATGACGTGTCTTTCCTTTGTGTATTGAACTTGATTTGCATTTTGAATTTGGTTGGATGAACTTGTGGGCATGATTTTAAACTTGTGGGCATGAACTTCATCAACTTGTTTGTGTGAAATTTTTATTGTGTTGAAAATATTCATCATTTTGTGTTGAAAAATGCCATATGCAATGCACCGGCGGGTCGCGCGCGCTGCTGGAGCGACGCTCGCGCGCTGCATTTTAGCGCGGCCGCTGGAGCCAGCGCTGCGCGCCGCGCCAAACCAGCCGATGCGCGCGCGGTATATGTGTTTTTTGCGCGCGGCGCGACCGGCGCCTGTTGGAGATGCTCTAGCTGACAAGACCTTCACCCTTGAGGTCGAGCCCTCTGACACGATCGACAATGTCAAGGCAAAGATACAGGACAAGCAGGGCATTCCCCAGATCAGCAGCGTCTCATCTTCGCGGGTAAGCAGCTGGAGGATGGGCGGACTGCCGGACTCTTGCTGATTATAACATCCAAAAGGAGTCGAGCCTCCGCCTTGTTCTTAGGCTGCATGGTGGCATGCAAATATTTGTGAAGAGGTTGACCGGCAAAACCATCACTCTTGAGGTCAAGTCGTCCGACATGATTGACAATGTGAAGGAGGGCATCCCCCAAGACCAGCTGTTGATCTTTGCCGGCAAACAGCTTGAGGATGGGCGCACGTCTCTGGTGGATTACAACATTCAGAAAGAGTCTACTCTCCACCTTGTGCTCCGCCTTCGTGGTGGGCACTGAGTTCTTTGTGCTTTGGTAGTTTGATTTGCAAACATGTCGGTTCCTGCTGTGGCCTCTTCCCCGTCGTCTGCAATCCTGCCTTTTAGCAGTTCAGATCGTAAAGTTGGTTGCTTAGCGTGATTTCTGTTAACCATTACCTTTGTCCCAAAATTCTTGTCTACAAATCTAAGACACCCTTGAATCCGCGGAAGACGTGGTGCTGCAACCGAGGTGATGAGAAGCCTGTGTACGCCACCCCGACAATCTCATCTGCAGCCCTCCCGGACGCGGACCAGGGGCTCAATTGCGCAGCCGCAACTATCAGACCAGCCATGGCTAGAGGCAGCCTGAGCCATGGCTAGAGGCAGCGACCGGTAGAGAGCCATGAAACTGAGGCCCAAGCATCCACCATCTCCAACTCATCGGCCAGCCCACCTTTGGCAACTGCTGCTCTTCGCTGCTTGCTGCCCCCGCCAGCGGCTACACAGCCAACCAACTAGAGAAGGTTGAAAAGGGAGAAACGGCCACATCTGATCCTCATAATTCAGAGGGGCTTCACCGGAAGTCGATCTGGCGAGCTCCGTGTCCGATAAACATTCAACAGTTTCTATGGCGCCTTGCACATGACAGCCTACCCCTGCGATGCAATCTGAAAAGATGAGGAGGGGAGTTGGATCAAATATGCCCTGTGTGTAACCGTTTTGATGAGGATGGTGGACACTTGTTCTTCAAATGCAAGCCGG